AGCTGGCTACACGATGGACGCGCGGGAGAAGTGGGGGTCGTGTGTCTAGCAGCTATTTCCGTGGAGGACGTTGAAGATATCTACCTATTCGGAACCATGATTCCAGGTCTTCTGCTGATTGGATTAGGCATTGCCCTGGTTTATCGAGGAATTAACAGCTGTCCAAAGCCTCACAAGGCTGCCCGTCATGATTGAAGCGGTGGGCAGAGCTGTCAGCACTGTGTCTATGAACCAGAATAAGGATAAAATCATGGAGAAGCTTACGGCTTTGCAGAAGGATATGGATCGTTTCGGAGACCAGAGACCATGAGAATTAGCTGTGTAAATTGACTGCGGCTTTTCACCCCAAGACCAAACAATCCCAATCTTATCTGTTTTCGATCACCCCGAACTAGCACTGGCATTGACCAAGGCCGCTGCTGGAACAACTCCCCCGGAAGAGCACTGCAGTGAGCCGCTCTTGCGTTCCTTCCCTGACTCCACAAGACACCTGGTGATTTGTTGACTCTGTCTGGGACCTGATCAAGATTTTCTCCATGGCAACTTGCTGTGTATCGCTATGACAATCCTGCGAACTTGAGGCACCTAGATTATGATGCCAGGCATATCGACTATCCAGGCCTACACATACACGAACTCTTACACATACATACAGATATGCATTCACCAGCCCCTCACCCCATCCCTCACCTTCGCCGCTTTGTACCCCCCAATCTGACAGGCGGGTCTGTGACCAGCACCGAGAATGGGTGCAGGACCGGATGGCTGCTTGCCTGTGCTGGGTTACCTCCATCCCCCACTCCTATACCCTGTTGCAAGTCTTTTGTGTTCATGTTGTAGAGTGTACTGATTATGTGCCAATGTTGCTGAGGTGTTTTTTTTACTGTTCCCAAACTGTACTCATCACAGGAGCATGGTCTGGGGGTTAAAAGGGTTGCCTTTTTTTCTCCTCACCTCTCCTATATTTCTTCCTCAATGCTCTGTCTTCATGCCCTGTCTACCCCCTTGACTTATTGTATGCATGTCTGTATGGGCAGGTTAATGGCTAATTTCGCTGGTACTTGTGACTAAGTGACAATAAAGGCTACTACTACTACTACTACTGCTGATATGTGAGATTTATGATTGTCCAGAATGAGCAAGACTGGGTCATCAATGGAGCAGTTGGTATGACGGATGAAGTGCTCCAGGAAGACGGTGAAGGCTTCTTCATTCATCCATCTAGACTTTGTAGAATGACCTATGGACACTACAGGTGAACCATTCATGAAGGATTCTTTGAAACAAACATGAGGGAAAATAAACATGGGTGGGATTGCATTTCCAGTGGCGTTTACTGCACAGGCCACAGTGACGAGCTCTCCTCTTTCAGCTGATGTAACGGAACCCACTTGTTTCTTCCCTTTCTCTCTGACGATCTGCTTGGGTGTCTGCACTGTAGTCACACCAGTTTCATCCATGTTGTACATCATGTGTGGAGGGAAGTTATGCCGAAGTTAAGTTCACGTTATGCCGCTCGCAACGAGCCCAAGCATGTTGCTGTGTCTCGTTCGCCGAGTGCGAAAAACCCCGTCAAACACAAACCGTCCTCTCGCACCGATCGGCCCCTCTCAAAGAGAGTCAGGCCAAAATCGCGAAAACGTTCGTAAAAATCGACCCGAAAGTCGTACGACAAAACCGAAGGCGCCGATGCTCTCAGTAGAGCGGGCCGGACGCTCCGATGTCAGACTCGGTGGGATCGGTCGCTCGCACGCGTTTCTGCGAATCCCAGAGTGTGCACTCTTGGCTCACTGAGCGGTTTCCAATACGGTGGGGGGGCGCGCATAATTGTGAGCCTTGCACGCCTGGATAGTACGGCGCGCGAGGCCAACGAATCAGGCGTCATTTCGCCGATCCGACGCACCCACACTCTTTTAGGCCGCGTGCTACTTTTCTGCGGAGGTACCGATTTTTAATTTTTAAGCTTGTTAATTTTTAGGCTTGACTCTGAAAAATTCGTTCCATACGAAAAAATTTGCGTCATCTCGATCGCGCTGCCGAGACGGTCGCAATGATGTATGAATCACTTTTTGGACCTGGGGCTTAGTCATACTGTTGAGATGTGCCCTCTTTCCTTCCCTGACTGCTGTTTGAGTGTGTGTTTGAGTGTGTGTGAGTGAGTGAGAATATGTAATCCTATGACTTACCTGTCCATTAGGTTATCAAAGAACTCCCACACGTTGTGTCTATTAAAGGCAGTAGCTCTACCACGAGAGGTTGCTTCAGGAGTGCGGCATGACAAGTGGTGGAGTGCTTTAAAGGCTGTGAACCAATTAGGTCCTAGAAAAGGTTAATAGTTTATTAGCATAGGTATCTCTTTATTTATCCCTTATTGAACCATTTCAGTTTACATTCAGAATTTACATAAGGTAAAGTTAATTGCTCTAAATAAGTACTCAATTTTGCTTCTCTGTAGGATGTGCATGGTGATAAAATAAATGTATCAATGTTCCCTATAACTTTGTCTTAAAAAAAATGCACTCTCAACCTAACCTGCTTTTTTCTCTCTGATCCAGTTGGCAGGGATATTAATGCCATTTCTTTTCACATACTCAAAAGCCAGCTCACAGCATTTCATGGCACTTATGCCGTGAAACATTGCTGCTAGTGCCTTTATATGGTCTGCCAGCTCTGTCTCCATGTATTGGTTGGCAAGTCTTGTTCTCTTATACCCTGTCTTTGTTACTTCTCCTATCTTTTTCTTCTCCATGAATTGTTTCAAGCTCATCCTGCAGATCTTCATTTCCCTTGCCAACCTGACGTATGGTCTTTCCCTGTTGCACCTCTTTCACTGCTCTGTCCAACTCCACAAGAGGAGTCCACCGTTTATAAGTGCGTGGCGTGATGGGTTTTGGTCTGAAATTAAGAATGTCACATAGTTTAAGTGCTAAAATGTAAGAATACAATGTACAATTACAAATTAATAATAAGTTGAAAATAATGATAAGTGCGGGTGAGTTGTGCCACCGGCACGATTTAACCCAGGGCCTTTGGCACAAATCAGTGATCACCCTAGACCTACATGTTTGAAAAACTAGCATTATCTAGCAGTTAAGAGCCAACATCATGCTAACTCTATAGACTCATTATGTAGCCTGTTAAAGCACTAAAACGTGTGAAATGTTTTCAAACTTGTCTATAATTGTTCAGACACTACAATCAAAAAACCTTAATCATAGAAATTGAGCTAAAATGTGCTTACCTCTCATGCCATGCGTCTCTCTTCTTTGGAGGATGAGTAAAATGAATGGCTTTTCAAAATGATGTTGTCACATGACCAATTTCTTCTATGCCTTTCCAAAAACAACGGGTGGAACTACTTCCCCCCCTGACACAAATCACTCCACTCTCCCCTATATCACTGTTGTCGAAAATGGAGGAGATGCTGGTTGTTGCCGTCGGTGGGTACCCTGAAATATATGATACTTTAGCATGTTTTTCATACATTTATTGTAATTAAATCACAGCAAAAACGATATATGCTGTATATTTATTGGTGCTGACGTTATTTTATAAAAACTGGCCCTGACCTGAGACAGATGGAAAGGCGCTCCACAGCTGAGATGGATAGCCTGTAATTGGTGTCCATCCGAGAAATCCTGCGTAAGCAACCCTAGCTAGCAGGTTATCAAACTGGGCACCCGTCATTCTCAAATACCGATGGAAACGGATGTCATTCAGGCGCAGTTCCTGGAGAAGACGGTGAAATTCACCAAGTTGAGTTCGCCTCTGGATGGTGCTGTGAACCTAGAAATGTCGGCGTTTGGCTTTCCTCCGTATTTGGGACTTCCACAACAAGTACAGAGCAGCAATATCTTTTATTTCAGACATGACGCAAACGTATGCCAGAAAGAAATTGTGTTGGGTTTTTTTTCCGCGAGTGACGCGGACACACGAATTGGTTCAAAATGTTCAAGCATCTAACTAGACGTGATAGACGCGTATTTGGCGCTCTTTTCTCGTTCGGTGTGAACACACCTTTAGAGTTTGTGTCAAATTCGCGCCTACCGCGTCTAGTTATACGCTTGAACACTTTGAATCCATTCGACCGTCAAGAGCGAAATTTACGTGCGTCAATTTCGCACTTCACGGTCAAATGAATTAAAAGTGTTAAGCGTATAACTAGACGCGGTAGGCGCGAATTTGACACGCTATTCGTGTCTGGTTTGAACGCACAGTAAGGCTGTCTGTGCGACTTGGTGATGGAGATCTGAATAACAATATTTTGGTCATAGGCTAACTTGCAATTTTGCAAATTCCCATTGAAAGTTTCCAGCCTTGAAACTTCCTGGAATTTTGCAACCCTAGTAGTACAGAAATATCCAAAAAGATTGGCAGCAATTAAAGCAAAAGGTGACTTAAAATGTTTGAATCAGGGGACAGATGACTTTCTCAACCCTGTTATTTTCATGGGTTTTTTTTTTCTTTCTTTTTTTTAATGAATTTTCAGAACAGTTGAGTTTTTCTTAAATTAGTTTGATGCTGTAAGGCAAACTTTGTGTATAAAGCAGGAAAAGCTTATTTATTATTATTTATTTATTTTTGCAACGGGTTTAGATTTTAGGCTGTTTGATAAATAAAATAACTATTTTAAAAGGGTATGATGATTTTTTATAGGCACTGTATATCTACACTATTTTGGCAACAATATTACCAAAGACTTTAGAGTTGTCTCTCCCGCCCCCTCCTCAGGCTTGACGCTCACACTGGTTGCCAGATCGAAAATACGCAAACATTAATGAGCCTTATACTGTAAGTTGATGAGTTTTTTTAGATGGATGCCAAGGCTTTTTGGGTTGGTTAGAATCTGCAATCTCTGAGCCAGGTCATTTCACTGGCTTTCATGTTTGCAACTGTTCTTCCACTAACTGGCAACCTGGGAGATGGAATACTATTGGGTAATACGGCAGTGGGCGGGGCCATACGGACTAAAACAAAAACAGACATTCTGACACAGAAAGCACATTTCAAAGAATATCATTGTTTTTCAGAAAAAACAAGTATTTGAACTTACCATGTTTCCTAAATCTCTCCATACATATTATAGCATTTTTATGATGTAGTACAGTCCAAAACAAATTACATACAGCACCTTTAAATTCCACTCTAGAAATAAACAATGAATATATGAACAGCAAACTCTCTCAAACCACAGAAATATCATTTTAAAACAGAACCATTTACAATTGTGAAATCAAATTGATCATTTCAGCTGATCAATATTATTATCCAAGTGATGGAAAGAGACAGTCCTGGTGCTCAAGTCTCTAATTTAAAGTCAATTACAGAATAGAGAAGATTTTAACCACCCACTTGCTTCTGAACTAAATAGCACAACAAAATAACACAAAAGCAGAGACATGCTTTTTTAGCTTTGCCTTCAACTGGAGTATTAAAAAAAACATTTTATTTTTGTATAATAAAAAAAACATTAGTGCTCCATTTAAGACAACCATGGTAAAGGGATAAGATGAACTACGCCACATTTAATTTCTCTCTCGACTATAAGCATCACTAAATCCCAATTACTTTAGGTTGTTTTAAAGTTTTACACATGTATTTTACACCCTCTATACACCGGACGTGAGAATCAGAAACAAATACTCACCTATTATAGTATTTTCACAAATAAAGAAACAGGCTCATCACCAATGGGGGTTTTGGGTGGCAGTGCCCACCTATTCATATGGTCATCCAGTGAGCTTACTAAAAGAATCAAACACTGTTTCTATAGTTTGATCAATAGCTATGTTTCCATCCACCAATTTTTATGTGCATTTTAGGAATCGCATAAAAAACCCGCTGGATGGAAACAGCAAGATGCACATAAATTTAAAAAATGCACATGAATTTAAAAAAAAATGCATATAAAAAAAACATATGCTCTTAAATGAGACGGAAATTTATTATCTGATAAGAAAACATGCGCATAAACTATAAACTACAATGGGAATTAATTTACCGAATAAATTCCTCGATGTGCATCAAAAAAGTAATGGTGACTTTGCGCGGTGGGACGGCATATCTGGCCCAACCAGCGGACCGAAATACCCGAGCAAACTCTGTTGTCAAAGTGGTTATGTTTGCAAGAGCTCTGCAATTTGACACTCCAGTAAAGTCACGTCACGTTTATTTATACAGCACTTTGTACAATAGATTGCTTAAAATCAAGCAGTTTTACAGTATTAAACATGAAAAACAGTGTCAGTGTTTTCATAACAGAATTAAATTTCTACTAAAAAGCATATCTCCAGTGTGTTCACGTTTTCACTCGCAGACGTCTGACCTCGACGGACTGAACAAGAGAAATTAACTGGAGAAGATTTCTACATCGAAGAAGGCGGAGCCTCAGAGCCACGCCCACCTATTACATCATCACCACAGACCAATGGCAGCACAAAGGTGTTCACCAGCCATAGCGAACTTTCCCGAAAGTGTTTCAAACTCCCAAAACGAAGTTCATTTTGTCCTGATTTTGTTTAAAATTACATAAGTTCATTTTACGATTTCGCTTGAAGTATATCAGGGCCTTTACATGACTGCATTTCCAAACAGCAGGCATCCGCCTCCGAAAGCAACATAACAGGACCGCGTTTAGGCACAAGTAATTTATTATATACAAAAAATATTATATACAGTGGCTTCTCCTAGTTTTCTTGGTAATATTTAGCGCCAGTTTATCAGAAAGTGACGATTTTGTTCTCTTCGACTCACTGGATGGAAATGGTGCTTTATTTACAAATGTTTTTTTTTTTGCGATATTTCAATTTTACGCATAAGTTAAGTTCGCAATTTTAGATGGAAACAGCTTTAAAGTATTCTAGCGGACTCCAACTCAGGAAACGACTAAAATTGCTCACTTTTTATCCTACTTGTAGCTTACTTTAGAAATAAATAACAGTCATAGTAACTTTAGTTTGGAATTACATTGTACAACCCTCGTGCCAACTTTGTAGTTGAATTGAATTGGTTTTCCATGATAAACCAAATTTGAGTACATAATCATTAAACTAATTCTAAACCATTAAAAACTCGTATCAAGAATAAACACATCAGTGTACAGTTTTGCATCTATTTTTGTATGTATTGTATTTATTTCCCGTTCAATGATCACGGTGTTTAGCATCGTCACACGATCATTGTAATGAGATGAATTCAATAAAGAGTAGACCTACCGTCTTTCTTATTCAATTCTGATATAATATATAAATAGTTCACGGCTGTTTCTCTTGACATTTTCCTCTGTAAAATAGGCATCGCAACATCTACGAAACAATTGATTGCTACTCATGTTTTTAAAGGTAATGTACTCGCTAAACGGGCCTAAATTGGACAGTCATGCTAAAGTGTGTTTTATTAATGGGAATTTTAAGGCTCAGAGTCATAAAAAAATGTAATGTCTAATAACAATCACAATATTGTATTATTCCTGATTTTGTTATGATGTAAAGTAAGTAAAGTCAATTCTATTGAAGTTCAAATCAAATGCCTTAAACCAAAAAGAGATTCATCACCGATTAGCTCACAGGAACACAAATCTCTACAATGGTATCTTTAAATAACACCATCTTTTAAGAGAAAATTCATATTTAACGCATTACTGCATCCATTACACAAAACAAAACTTAAAACAAATATATTTACAAATGACTATTAAAAAAATCCCCTCTTGCATAGACCTGCCTCATTAACTATGCAAACACAACAGCCAATGGCAAGTCTCCATCAGGCAGACATTTCATTATTTATATTTTTGTGTTTGAAGTAGTTGTGTTTATTAAAATTACATACAGTACCGTAGGTTTATGTCATTGGTAATTCCTTCGCACACAATCTCAGTCTAATTTTGGCGGCGATATGCAACGTTTATCAAGCAAAACGCCATCCATATAAGAAAGTGGTTGAGTCAATTGTTGTCAAGGAGTATTTACTCATGTTTTTTGGTGGAATTGAAGAGCTTTTGTGACTAAAAACTGTAAAAAATATAAATAAAACATGCTTGGTTCAGACACATTGGATGGGTTTATAATGAGCGAGACGTTCGCGTTCGCTCTAGACAGTGTTAGCTACTCAATTGCTAACTCTCATGACACATAGCAACACAGCTAAAAGTATTCCTAATATGTTGGACCTTTTATTGAAACAGCCGACATTTACCTGAGACATGCCTTCACAAGCACCGTAAGAGCTGTGATCGAGATGGGGAGGCGTAAATCGCGCAAAATATGCAGTATTTTTGTATTTCCGCTAGGTGCCACGAGTGTCGCAGAAACCATTAAATGGCATCGGCTTGGGACACTATATCAAAACAAATAAGAAACAACGCCAGTTGTCACTTTAAATGTATGCCAGACACATTTTTTTAAACTTGAGAATTAATAATAAGTACAATATAGTAAATACAAGTACCCTATTATAAATAATATGAGAATAATAAATAAAAATAAGTTGAAATGCAAATCGATGACTAACAAACGCATACTGTCGATTCATTGACAACCTCGAATAGTTACGGTAGAGGTCGGTCTTTAACGGTTTATGCGTTTTCATAAGAACTTAAATTCCCTATGGACAAAAATGAAATGCTATGAAAATAGTTTATGTTGATTTAGTCTAGTTAGTTTCGTATCAAATATAATGTGATTTTCATTGATTGAGCTCTTGGGAAAGCAATTCACGGATAGGTTTCCCTGTATATATGCCAGAAAACCAATGAGAACGCGGAATGATGACGATACACAGAGCGTAGGCGGCAAAACTGCTGTGGATCCGCTTACCCAACAGTTACATACGCATTACAAAAACTCAATCGTGTAAGTTTTATGGTACACCTTAAACAAGGGTAGGTATAGAGATGTATAGTGGTAATATTAATTAGCAAGTCCAGTAACGGCTTTGGTATGCAGAGCATTCGCAGCTTGTATGGACTTATATGGTTTTGGTGTTGTTGTAGGCAGTTTTATCCTGCTTTATTTCGAACAAAACATCTGGTCATATTCTGTCAGAAAAAGTTACTCGATGTTAACTTCTTGTTTATTGATCTTTTGTATAAAAGCAATACGACATTGTCAGTGTTGCTGTAGCGCAGGATATCAGTCATGTGATCCCAATCACAGCCGTACTGATATTCAGATCAACAGCACTCTTACTCATGTTCTACGGATTAAATACTGGAAACATGATGACCGTAAAAGATAAAAGCAGGTCGATCCAAACGTGACGTTTACTGACTATCGGGCGATAAGATCCTCAGAGGGAAAAAACTATAAAAGAACGGATAGACTGTCTCATTGAAGGTGGTTGTGAGTGAGTGTAGATATGCGTTAGATACAGGATCAGAAAACGACACCATTCCTCTGTCATAATCCAGATCAACTCTGACACGATCAAGCTTCTGTTTAACCAGATAACCAGACTCCTCAACCAGTCCGTACTGCACACTCCAGACATCAGTGTTAAAGAAATCACCTCCCTTCCTCTGGTTTGATGCTGTGGTTATTCCAAGTCTCCAACGTGAACTCTTTTTAACCTCCACGTCCCAGCAGTGTGTTCCCGAGTTAAAGCCCTCTGAACCCAGAACACACGGAAAGAGGTCAAATCTCTCTGGATTATCAGGAAGCAGTTGTTTGTTCCCGCCCTGTTTGACTCGAGTCAGATCATCAGACAGGATGAGGCATGGATGAGCCGTGTTTGGATCCAGAATCACAGGAGCTGATGAGACACAATCAAAAAGGTGCTTTTATTATGATGTTCATATAGACCATTTCACAAGATGTAAACAACACTGGTCCAGAAGCACTTCCTATTTCAGTTTTTTAACACTACATAAAAGCAGAACATTTAAAACTGAATCAAAAAGTTAAACAAACATCTTTAAGATGTTTTCTTTACATGTGAATTAAAGAAAACGGTTACAAACTGAAACAGGAAGTGCTTCTGGACCAGTGTTGTTTACATCTTGTGAAATGGTCTATAGTGAACCATACAGATTATTATGAACTCTATAGATAAAACACCATGTGTGATTTCCAGTGTGTGTAACAGCACAGGTCTTCTCCAGACTTACTGTTTTGGACGATGTCCTGCATCTTCTTCCACACTCTGAACGGCAGGTTTCCCAAGTAATGTGGGACATGAATCAAAGATCCAGACGCCATCTGTGGATCCGGCTCTGAACTCTGGTCTCTGGGGGAACAGTTGGGAATCAGGGGCCGTATTCATAAAACATTTTATTTTATCAATAAGAGTTCTTCTAAATGTCAGTAAAAGTAAGCTAAGACCAACTTTTAATAAGGAATAAAAAGAACTCTTAAGAGTAAGGACGGGGTTGGCCATTACTATGGATGATGTCAGCACGCTTACTAAATATTCGCACAGTGATTGGCTGAAGGGGATTATTTTAGTGAGATAAATATTGTCGAACGAGCTATCACGTTGTCATACTCAAATTAAGTTTTTAAAATGTAGACTGTCACAAATTAAACTTGAAATTGTTCAGCTAATTGTCAGCCTCTCACATGTCTGAATCTTGAGAGATTGATAAAATAACCAAGCGATCGGTTGCACGATGTTCGTCTGGTGGGCGATAAACTGGAAGAAAAAAGTCCCATAGAATTGGCACAAAATTTGTGAGATCATATCTTTTGACCAGAAGGTCATAGAGAATTGGGGCTCTTTTGACTCGGCCTATCAACCAGCCAACAAGTGGCGACATGATAACTTCATATTCACGCCCTAGCAGTCACTTAGGGCAGCCTAGCAGCAATAAATTCAAGCGATAAATAATTTGTCAAGCGACAAATTTGATCATTTTATACCAGTGTATATATTCTAGTTGATCATTTCGAAGTACAAGTCTGAACTTGTGAAATCAACTGCCACAGGTAATCGGACATTATTTTTTAATTACATTTATTTTTTTACATTTTATCGTAGATCAATTGTATTACATTTTAGAAGAAATGGGTAAAGCACCCAAGGCACTATTGCCTCAATAGTGCACAGTGTGTTTGGGTGGATTGCCTGCAACAGCCATTAGGATTGTTTGTGATTTTGTATTAAAAATATTTTTAATAAAAAATTCTTTATTATAATTTTTTTACAGGATATATATATATATTAGGGGTGGCACGGTTCACGAAACCGACGGTTCGGTTTGTATCACGGTTTTAGTGTCACGGTTTTCGGTTCTGTACGGTTCTTGTTATTTTTTTTCTTTTAATCTTTAACACTCCAGAAATGTACTTCAGCATGTGATATATAGCTTAATTATCCACACTTTAGGATACAGTATAAAAAAAATTATATTCATGCAATCATGCACAAACTGAATTTGACTCTTTGACTTTAAGCACATTTTGGGACTATCTCAGAGGAAAGCTAGGTGAGATTTTGATACAGCAAGAGAGAAGACATTGACATGCTTTTCATTTATTTTGAAAAAAAAAGGAGAATGTGTATCACTATCTCTACAAGAACTTGAGCATTTTTATCACACAAATCTTATTTACACAAAGAAATTAACTTGCATTTATCCAACTGACAACTTTTGTAGCTCTTACAAAAATTCTATCTTTTAAAAGAAAAAAAGAGGAACTACACTGTCTTTTATGAATAAGTTAATATACATGAATACCTCATTGCCTATAATTAGGCTATAGCAATAGCAAAGGCCATAAACATAAAGTGAAACATAAGTTCAACCTCAACACAAAAAACAGTATAAACAATGCTTCTATTCCCAAAAAGTGAGGGTACCTTTTTTCACTTGAAATTAAAATGCAGGATTTCGAAACATATGACTGGAGCTCTTATCTAAACATAAAGTGCCACTGTAACGTTATATTAAAGTATCATAACATGAAATCCAAAATGTTCCCACACACCAGACTTATACCATAGACTTATAGGACGCTCGCGCTTCCTCCAACTCCCTCATCTCTCCCACTTGCCATTTCTCCGCGGGCCGTGACCTGCAGCGCTCCATACTCCACTTTTACTGGATTGTTTACTAACTTGAACCGGCATACAGAGCGATCGGTAATGACATCAAATACCGCGAAAGTGAGTGACGGAGCCGTCGTTCCCGCTCTAGTTTGATGTTATTCACCGGTCGCTCTGTGCAGCGCCGGTCCAAGTTGAACAAGCTTATGTCGTGCGAAAAGAAAACAAACGTGACATACGGGCACGAGGCTACATTGCGCATGCGTCGAACCGTGAGACGCACACACGCTCCGAACCGAGACGAGCGAACCGAACGGTTCGGGTGTTTTTTCATGTACCGTGCCACCCCTAATATATATATATATATATATTGTGATTTTTATTTTATTTAACTCTAAATTTCAATTATTATTTTTTATATTATTTCACAAAAAACAAAAACAAAAAAAAACTTAATTTCAGTCGAATTCTAGGTAAAACCAATAATACATCATGCACTCAGTCATCGAGCGTCTCTGCTGACCTCTTGTGGGGAACAAAATGACATTAATCTGCATTTTATGATTACTGCCACTAGAGGGGCCTAAAGTTCCCTTTCATAGGTTCACTCAACACAGTGTGACAATTGTCTGAAGGCCCCATAACATCACACAGACTGATCTCATGAAATTGCGTGTGTATGACACGCTAATTCGTATTTCCATTTTTGCTGTCATTGAGAAATTATTTTCTTAGAGTCTGATGCAATGTCGAGTGAACCGAAATCGAAAGGGAAGACGGACAATCTTTAACAGAAGAATAATTCAGCACACATAATCTGAATTGTTATCAGTAAAAGTCTATTTCAAGAGCACAGTGTTTTTAGCGAAGGATTTAACTCATATTATAATGTGCTGCTCAAGATTAATGCCTACAGGCTGAATATTAAAGTCTATAATAGTTTTTGTTAAAGTCTCAATGTGGTGAAAATCCAGTTTTTAATGTTGTTTATATGTCTAAGTGGTGTTTGTAATATGCTTTAAGTCAAACCATGTGTAAGTTCATCAGTCGACAGAATTGTTGAGTATTTCCTCTTTAAAACTGCAGTGAACCAAAGACAGTCTCAAACACACGGTTTGAAATCGCTGGTGTTTCTGACGTCACACACTACCTTGTAACCAATCAGATCAACGTGTGATCGTCAACCAGTGGATCTCTGAGGTGTGTGAGTGAGTGAGTGAGTGGAGGCGGGGCTCATTTGCATTTTCATAGAACTTCACATACTAAACGAGGCAAGGGAGAAGAGTTACATTCAAACTATTTTAAAGTTTGAAGAAAAAAAAAAGTTTAAATATGCCATTTGTGATCAAAGATGAGTTTAAGGGATACAATTATTGACTACAGGGGGACTTTAACGATTTACAAGGATAGTTTGGTGCACTTTCACAGATTGTTCAAATTGATATATACTGGTAGAGGATTAATACATGTATATACATTTTTGTAAATGTTTAGTTATAAAGATGTTACGTTTGGCTACTGAAATTGTATTTTTGTTGACTAAAATGTGGCAATTTAAAGAAAAATTGACTAAAATGAATATGACAAGACAAAAAAATTGAATAAATTAACAGGATATGTTTGTCAACAGAAAAACATGACAAAAAATTGAAAAAAAAAGAAGCATTTTTAAGGTGTGAATACGCTTTATTCATGGCAGCGCCATCTTTGATTTTTAATGAGAATGTAAGCGAGGCTGTGAGGGATAGACTTGCATCTCTTCAATGGGCTGTATTGTTATTTAATGTGTTTTCGGATTGTTCTGCTCATGAAACACTGGAAAAATATCTTTCCAAGAAATTACAGTTGACAAAAAACTCCCGACAATGTAAGTTGTGGAAAATTGTAAGTAATCTAGGAGCTTTATTCAGCTTTTTACAGCGGATGCCATTGGAAGCACGGTAAGACTATCCCTCACAGCCTCACTTTCATACCTGTCATGGCGCTGCTCTGAATAAGGTGTATAGGGTGTGTGTGTGTGTGTGTTTCAGTTCAGAACCAGAGACAGGAGCAGATCACTCACCTTTCCATTGGGACTGGAAACTTCTGCAGAACAAACACACAATTTATCATCAAAAATTAATCAATCAAATCAATCAATCCATCAATGATCTGAAATAAAACCTTTAAAAAGCAGATATCATTGGCTGTCATCATCTCCTCCATGTCTTGGATTGTGTGTGAAAGATCTGAGATGTGTCTCTCCATCTCCTCCAGCTTCTCCTTCATCATCTGGTTCTTCTGCTCCTCTTCCTCCCTCAGTGCATTGATTGTAGCTTCTTCTTCATCTCGGAGATAACGATGAAGCTTCTTAAACTCCTGTTTAATCTGCCGCTCCGTGCGCTCAGCTTGAGACTGAAATCAAACCACAATCCCTTCAATCGTCGAAATCAACACACATCACATTCACCACACAACCAGCCAAACGTCTGGCCACAATTCATTTATTTTTGGCATGATTATTTTTTTTTAATGTCTTTACAAACCATGAAGATGTTTGCGAGACCGTCCAGAGATAGCAGAGCTGTTATCAAGGCAAAAGGGGGTGACTTAAAAGATTAACTATATGATTTTGACCTTTTTTGCTCACTAGCTTACATCATTCCCATCCTTCCATTTGTATTATTTCATAGTCGATGACTTTACTATTATTCTAATAGGCAAAATAAATAGAGCAGGTATGTTAAACTCTTACTAGTAGTAGTAATTACATCAGTAATAACCTTTGTGATGGGATTGTTGATTATGTTTCCTCACCTTGATGTGCTGAAGAGTTTCCACACACTTTTCTTTAATGTCTTCGCTGTGTTTAAGCTTCCCCCGTGAGGATTTCAGTGCCGAACTGAGCTCCTTCTAGACGTCAACAAAACAAAAACAATATAAATATATAGTATGTGCATATAACATATGTTGAATAAAATGATAGAGACTCAAGAGAGGAAACACTGAAAGCATGTGTGTCTATGTATTGTTCTTTACATGTGAATCGAGACGTGTGTCCTACCTTGTATGACGGAACCACTTCACTGATGGGTCTGAATGTGTGATTGTCGTGTTTCTGTGAATCTCTACACATTAAACACGCAGGCTGTTTGTCCTCCACACAGAAGAAATCGAGTTTCTCACTGTGTAAAGCGCAAGAAAGTTCTTCCACAGACCGTGAATCCATTTTCTTTATTTGGGCTCCAGCAATCTAACCTTTATTTCACTTCCTGGTTACGGTTTCAAAACTGAACAGCCAAGATAATCACAAAGATCTGCTGTCTGATCAGAAATAACCTCTTTTAAAAAATCCTCCCTGTTGGTCTTTGTTCTTCGTGATCGATGATTGCTATTTTCTTGTTTGTCGAGACAGTCACGGTGACAGAAAGCAGTGAAATGGGACAGTCACGTCCGGTGTTACAGTCTATTCGGTCCCGGAGATATTTGGTTCCGCTGGTGGCGCATGAGTAAATAATATCCATTAATTTTTCCTGTTGTGTGCTTGTCAACGAACTGAAAATATTATTGCAATCGCAACTTGTTTAATGCTACGTTTTCTCGCAATTCTTTCTTATTTTCTCAGAATTGTGAGATATAAACTCACAATTGCGCATTAGGGGGTAGGAAGTCATCTCACAATTCTGATATTTTCTCACATTTTCGAGTTTAAATCTCTCAATTCTGAATTTATAACTCGCACTATTACAGTTATGAGAGGGAAAAAGTCAGAGTTGGGAGACAAACTCGCAATTCTGAGAAGAAAAAAATGTCTATGAAGATTAGAATATCATTGGAACAACGCACTCATCAAAAGTTCATGCACTTGTTTATAATCAATTATGTATTGCAATGTTATTTACAATGACTACAAGATTGAGGATATTTTTCTTCAGGAGTATAGCATTTATTTAATTGTGAATTTGCTATTGTGACTTGATAATAGAATGATAATAATACGTCATAACATCTTTATTGAGACAAAAAATGAAAACGTAGTTTGGTTTTGGCTACTTTGAGTCTTACATGTGGGACTATCTACAAAATGAGCAAGACATTAAGGATAAAACAGAATAATCCCAGCAGAGTTGCTTATTTTATCAGGCAGTTATACATTTATGATTAAGTCATATTACACTAAGCAGCTTCATAATAATGGGTACTATCACCAAGTGACTAGGTAGCACAAGTAACAATTAAAATTAATTTTAAAGCCTCACAAGTAAAAGTAAATAAATAAACAAAAATAGGCTAAAAAACAAAACAAAAAGGCCAAGCCTACATCAAAAAGTCAGATTCAATTGTAGCCTAGACTAGCACCGTAGGTTATTCTCTCATTTATGATTAACATTAAAACTTTATTATCATTTCGAAATAAATATTCCATTAAACAATTTGCGCTTTCAGGAGAGTCGAGAGTGCATTAATTTTTTTTTTTTTTTTTTCGAGAGTGCATTAATATTTTCAGCTCCATTCCATTGAATGATGACTCAAGAACACGCCCATGAACTCATGAATATTCATAATTGCGCCACCCAGTGGTACCCAGTATACCACATCGAACCGAATATATTGTAACACCGGGGGAGTTTACATACATTGCACAATCATTCAGTGCGATAACCGAACAGTACCCAGTGCTGAAAAGTACACACAGCTTTTTTTGTCAGCAGTATCTGGACAAACTTTAATTCTTATGATGAAAATACATCAGTTATTATGATTTATTTTGATGCTCAAGATGTTCGAACACTCTACTGGACATTCACCTCAAGTTGAGGCAGTTTCACAATTTCACCACTAGATGTCAGTAAAGCTGTTCTGAAATCTCCACTCCACGTCGCAATTCACCTGCCTTTAGCCTACTAATCCCTAAAAGTTTTAAAAAAAACTTCACAAAAAATACTTTTAGGGCATAGTAAGCAAAGTTTTAGCCTAAAACTTTGCTTACTATGCCCTAAAAGTATTTTTTGTGAAGTTTTTGTGAAGAAAAAGTACATACTTTTGAGTGTGTGTCAGAAGAGTAGACAAGCTTGCTATTTAGTCATAGTGTGCTGTGCATACTGTCACCATAAACTGCTCTGTAAATCATCTTGTCACCAGTTAAAATCCTACACATTTTTTTTTTAAATTGAATTGAATTTCATACCGTTTCGGAGAGTAGCACATTGATCTGTATCTTGCAGACACTCCTCATATGTAGGCTATAGGCTACATACATAATGCATTTAAAATATAGTATTGAACTAACATCTCTTTATTCAAGTTCACAGTGCTTTTGCAGATCAAATATAATGTTGATAAACACGAATAAAAATATTTTCGTCACGTTAGATACTGATAGCCTAATTAATCACTCGAACCCCTTTTTCTAAAATCTCTACTTGCACTAGACTCGAATATCCGCCATATTTGTAGTTTTTTATACAAGTTTTACACGTGTTTGTAGTTATAATCGAATCAATGGGTTGTGGGCAATATTAGCGGAGTCTCACCACCTTAAGTGGGAAAACTCCCATCAAGTAGCGCTTTTCACAGTAGGGCTACACACACCGAAAGACAGACAGCTATTGTATATGTAAGCTAATTAAAAACAGAGTAAGAACGAGAAATGTTTAATTTCACAATCTATCGCTTCGGTTACTAGTATATGAAACAAATAAGTTAAAATACATTAATGGTCGTTATAACATACAGTACTTCAAGGAATTTATATAATAAAGTGACTTTGTCTGATTTGTAACCTTTCAGAAATACACAATTGTAAATATGGAAATAGAAAGTGGGACAACTAGCCACGGTCTTAACTGCATCATTTATTTACATCACATATACATATGTATGTAGCCTACATATGCTCTCAGCGATCACTAAACCCGTGACTGCAGCTGAATATCACAAAAGTCCACCCTAATATTTTCTTTGCCGTCAATTTTCGAGGCATTTTATTATTTAATCACCTAAAATCAGTTTGCGGAGTAAGCCTGACTGTGGAGATGTTTTATAGTTGATGCACCCTCTGTTTAATGTCTATTATAGGTCTATACGTCTCAGTGTAACGGCATGTGTGTATCCGCAGGGCCTGATTCATCGAGATCGATGCCGTTTCCGCCTCTCTTAGGTAAATGGTTGCCTAGGAGACGGACAGGTGCATTCCATCTTACCCAGTCCTGAGGGGGAGCGGGAAGACGGATGCTCTCCTCCATCGCCCTGGAAACACTGGAACTCTGTGGAAGGTCCAGCTCGGCTCAAGAGTTCTATCAGTGAAGATTCCAGTTCACACACACACACTTGTATAACCTACACCGTAAAAAAACTAATTCTATAACATTTACGGTAAAAAAAAACTGGCAGCTGTGGCATTTACCGTAAAAAATACGGTAGCAACATTTTAGATTTTACAAACTCATGTTAAATTTACAGTAAAAAAAAAACGTATTTTCATATTCTGATATAATGTTAAATTACCGGTTACCGTTTTTCACTATACATTTCACAATCACTTTTTCACTTCCAAAAACTGCACATTTAATCGTATTTTACTGTAAAATGACATTAAATGTACGGTTATATCTATCACAGTTTCCCACCGTAGCATTTTTACCGTCTTTTTCTGTTAAAATCACAATATTTTTTTTACAGTGTATTACATTATTGTATTATATTTATATTTTTTACCCTAATTCCACACTTAATTTACCGAACAATTCACGTTTTTTCATTGTAAATTTTTACAATTGACTTTCTCACTTCCAAAAACGGTATTTTACTGTATTGTACTGTATAAATACAATAAATCTACGGTTAGATCTAACAGTTATTCACAGTATATATAACCAATTAACAGTTTTCCACCGTAGAATTTTTACCGTCTTTTAACGTTATAATCACAATAATTTTTTACAGTGATATATCATATGTTCATTTTATTTTTTACTCTAATACCACTCTTAATTTACCAGACAATTCACGTTTTTTTCATTGTAAATTTTACAATTGACTTTTTCACTTCCAAAAACGGTATTTTACTGTATTGTACTGTATAATTACAATAAATCTACGGTTAGATCTAACACAGTTATTCACAGTATATATAACCAATTAACAGTTTTCCACCGTAGCATTTTTACCGTCTTTTAACGTTATAATCACAATAATCTTTTACAGTGATATATCATATGTTCATTTTATTTTTTACTCTAATACCACTCTTAATTTACCAGACAATTCACGTTTTTTTTATTGTAAATTTTACAATTGACTTTTTCACTTCCAAAAACGGTATTTTACTGTATTGTACTGTATAATTACAATAAATCTATGGTTAGATCTAACACAGTTATTCACAGTATATATAACCAATTAACAGTTTTCCACCGTAGCATTTTTACCGTCTTTTAACGTTATAATCACAATAATTTTTTACAGTGATATATCATATGTTCATTTTATTTTTTACTCTAATACCACTCTTAATTTACCAGACAATTCACGTTTTTTTCATTGTAAATTTTACAATTGACTTTTTCACTTCCAAAAACGGTATTTTACTGTATTGTACTGTATAATTACAATAAATCTACGGTTAGATCTAACAGTTATTCACAGTATATATAACCAATTAACAGTTTTCCACCGTAGAATTTTTACCGTCTTTTAACGTTATAATCACAATAATTTTTTACAGTGATATATCATATGTTCATTTTATTTTTTACTCTAATACCACTCTTAATTTACCAGACAATTCACGTTTTTTTCATTGTAAATTTTACAATTGACTTTTTCACTTCCAAAAACGGTATTTTACTGTATTGTACTGTATAATTACAATAAATCTACGGTTAGATCTAACACAGTTATTCACAGTATATATAACCAATTAACAGTTTTCCACCGTAGCATTTTTACCGTCTTTTAACGTTATAATCACAATAATCTTTTACAGTGATATATCATATGTTCATTTTATTTTTTACTCTAATACCACTCTTAATTTACCAGACAATTCACGTTTTTTTTATTGTAAATTTTACAATTGACTTTTTCACTTCCAAAAACGGTATTTTACTGTATTGTACTGTATAATTACAATAAATCTATGGTTAGATCTAACACAGTTATTCACAGTATATATAACCAATTAACAGTTTTCCACCGTAGCATTTTTACCGTCTTTTAACGTTATAATCACAATAATTTTTTACAGTGATATATCATATGTTCATTTTATTTTTTACTCTAATACCACTCTTAATTTACCAGACAATTCACGTTTTTTTCATTGTAAATTTTACAATTGACTTTTTCACTTCCAAAAACGGTATTTTACTGTATTGTACTGTATAATTACAATAAATCTACGGTTAGATCTAACACAGTTATTCACAGTATATATAACCAATTAACAGTTTTCCACCGTAGCATTTTTACCGTCTTTTAACGTTATAATCACAATAATTTTTTTACAGTGATATATCATATGTTCATTTTATTTTTTACTCTAATACCACTCTTAATTTACCGGACAATTCACGTTTTTTTCATTGTAAATTTTACAATTGACTTTTTCACTTCCAAAAACGGTATTTTACTGTATTGTACTGTATAATTACAATAAATCTACGGTTAGATCTAACACAGTTATTCACTGTATATAACCAATTAACAGTTTTCCACCGTAGCATTTTTACCGTCTTTTAACGTTATAATCACAATAATTTTTTACAGTGATATATCATATGTTCATTTTATTTTTTACTCTAATACCACTCTTAATTTACCGGACAATTCACGTTTATTTCATTGTAAATTTTACAATTGACTTTTTCACTTCCAAAAACGGTTTAAAATGACATTAAATGTACGGTTATATCTAACACAGTTATTCACCGTATATAACCAATTAACAATTTTCCACCGTAGCATTTTACCGTTAAAATCACAATATTTTTTTTACAGTGTACTGCACAATATATTACATATTCATTATATATTTTTTTACTCTAATACCACTAAAAAGTTATTCTAATGCTATTATTATGATATTGTATGCAATTGTTAAAAATAAATTCCCTGTATTTTCTTTACAACATTGTATAAATAAATAAATAAATAAATACAAAATTACTAAACAATTAAGATTTTTATGCAAAAAACTCCAAAAATATAATATTACTATATTTTCATGCATTGAATTATAAAGACGTTTACAATTTTCTGCTCTATATAAGAAATTATTAAAACATGAAATGATTTACTATTTAGACAATATACTGACAAAAAAAGTCCACCAAATGCTGAAGTAGACAAGTTTATTTTTGTAATAATAACAATGATGGTCATATCAATGGTTTAGTAATAAATATGATGTCATAATAATGATGATAATAATGTCAGAATAACAAACAGGATTTTTTTCATCTGAGGCTTGTAGCGATAGAAGAAGAGAAAGAAAACACGAACTGATAGCGTCACAGATCTGTAGGGCTTCAGAGAGATACATTTATCTTTCAGTGTTTCACCTTTAAACCTTTTTTTTCAAAGATAGTTTATCATTTGAATGCTTACAAAAATGAGAAAGAGATAGATTTTATAAATCCTTACAAATAAACCTTATCGTTTTAGAACAAAATACAAGATTTTGCTGGGGTAGAGCGGAGGGATAGAGGAGAGAGGGCTGATATTTACAGCAGAGATAGAAAAACAACCGTTTACTACGGTAAAAGCAGAAAGATGCTCTCTCGCTCACACAGGTACTCTCTCTCTCTCTCTCTGCCTTAACCCTGGGTCAGACCTTTTCAATAATACACGTATGAGATATAAACATGATGAGTGTAGATGCTTCAGAAGTATAATATGAAGACTAAAATTTCATCTTTTAATATTATTTCATTATTAAATATTATGTATCTGTATTATTATTCTTTATTAGTTTTCATGATCACTGTATTATCCTTTTGGAGTTTCAAAAAGCATGAGTTAAAAGCATGAGGAACATATGTCAGGGGAAAGCTATATATTGCTCAGAGAGGTATGTGTGCCATGTAACATGTTCACTCAGCATAAATGTTTCCACTGATGCAAGTGTACCACAGATGTACACAACAAGGAAAGTAGCGCACGTATGACATTTACGTTCTAAGTTGAGAGGCTCAGAGCAACATGTTTGTTACCTTACAAGGAAGCTGTAAGACTGTGTGATGTATAAAAACTCAATGTCACATTGTACCACCTCAGAGAAACGCATAGACCAGGCATGAACACAACATCTTGAAGTTTCTCTCCTGACATATATATATAATATATAATAAAACTTTCTTGGCAAGATAACTGGTGTCCGGTCCCGTAAATTGAATAATAACGGGGAAACACAAGAGGCTTTAATTCCAAGTCTACATTTGGCGTCACGAGGAACAGGATAGCATTCAGACATTTGTCTCAATCATTCAAGGTAAGACTTTTTCCTATTCTAAAAAATAATTTGAAGTCTGCCTGATGATTAGACATTGACTGAAACTGCTTAAAAGAACTGTGTTGTTTAAAGTACCAGTTGTTTTGCCAATGAATATATATGTCAGCAAAAGGAAAATAATTTAAATAATTAGAATTTGATGTGGCTTATTTGAGTTGCTCTGTTCAGTAAACCTCTGAAATATTGAATGATGCTAGGGAAGTCTTTTTTATTTTTGAAAAGACTTTAGGAAAAGTGGATCTTTTTTAGAAAAAAGACCATTTAGTCAAATATTTGGAATAGCAGTAAAGCGATTTAGCAATTTGCTTGGCATGACTGGAAGGTGGTTGGAATATGGCGAGACTGTAAAAACTGATGGCAGATTAATCTCTAAAATATTTCCAACACACCGAAGAATCGTTTTAGAAAACGAGGATAGTGTGTCAAAGCGGTGATTTATAGCGGTTTAAAGTGGCGGGTCTGTGCTATAGGACGCACAGGATTCCGTATTTAGAAATACAGGCGCCCTAAAATTTTAAACACGCTGATTGAGCCCTTAGAAGATGGGTATCAATGGAAATAGGAGCTAGAATTGTGTGTTTTTTCGATTTTGACAATAAGCTGTTCAGTATTGAGAGGAAGAGGTTGATCTGAGAGCAACTTCAAATAAACTAAATAAAATTTAAAAATAAAAAAATAGAGCAAACAAATACACAAAGAAAACAAATTATTAGAGTTAACTTTGTTTTGTTTTTTTGTTTTTTCCTTTCCCCTTCTTTGTTCTTTGAGTTATAAGAGAAGGCGAAAGGGAGAGAAGGAGAGAAGCAGAGAGAGAGGGAGAAGCAGAGGGACCCCCCCCCCCTTGGAATTCACGCACAGTAGATATACATCCACACACACACACACACACTCACTCCCAAAATATCCCTGCTGTTTGAGTGCACAGTCACAGAGTGACAAATAATTTGCAATGGCAGAAAGTGGTCTTAACAGCCGAACAATTGCTGATTGGTATTTAAAAAGAAAACAGAAAAAGCAAGCTAAGCTTTTGAAAAAAGGACTGGATGTTAATGCATCTTTGGATGTGCAGCTAAGCTGGTTTGATTCGCAAAAAGACTCCATCAAGTCAAAAGCATTTCCAATACTGGCAGCTCATTGGATTGTGAAACAAGGTGGAATCTTCTGTGGCATTGATGGATGTCCAGCCCCACTTTTTGAAGCAATGAAGCCTCAACTTGAAGCATTTCACAAACTGAACAAAATTATGTCTATTAACTGTTCAGATAAAGAAAACACAACCAATGATAATTCATTTGATCCAGATTGGGCAAATATAATAACTGAAGCTGAAAAGAGATATTCACAAGCACCAGTGAAATCTGCAACCACTGTAACGCCTCCTCCTTACAACCCAATGTATCCAGTTTTGCCTGAACAATGTACAAGTTCCTCTAAACCACTGACACAGCCTCAAGCTTTGAGATCAAATGGTCCAGTTGACAAAATGTATATTGCATCTGCACAAGCAGCTCCAATAATAACAAGATCTAAAACAGTTCATCCCAACAGAGACATGCTGCGCTGTACACCAGCTTGTAATTATGGATCCGACTGGGGTGATGAGACAAGAGATGACGACATGATCACAATTGACAAGATCGGTCCTGAACTTTCTTCACCAGTAATTAAAAAGGAAGGATCTGAATTAATGACAGAAGAGAGACCATTCACTCCAGGTGAACGACAAGCCATTCTCACAGCCTTGCCTCCTCTGAAGAGACAAGATCCAAACACAGAGTTTTGGCGAGAATTAGACTCTCTTGTCGAAGCACATCAAATGACACTACGAGACATTCACACCATTGTGAAAGCTAAAATCCCAAGAGACAGATGGGAACGCTTGCCAGCTTCAATAACAACTGCCCAATGGATAGATTTGTGGGTTGATGACCAGGGACGACCCCTGGGTCTTTGGCAAGCCTTAGATGTATTCCGAAGAGAAATCCAGGAAATTTTGGGCAGTGGTAAAATTCCCTTCACATTAGTGACATTGATTAAGCAAAAGGATGATGAATCTCCAGATGAGTATGCTCTACGTAAGTGGAATGCTTATGAGAGATGGGCTCTCTGTGCTAAGAAACAACCTGACAGAGATGATGTACAGTTCATTGACACACTTGTGGATGGACTTGGCCCAAAATACCAACAAGCCTTATCACTTGGAGTCAACCCAGGTGAGACATTTGACCAAATCATGCAATGGGCTGGCCGTTTGGAGATGGCTATGAGGTCAAACAAAGAAGAAGGAAACAAGCCATACCGAAGAGGAGTGGCGACAGCTCAATACAACAAAGACACAAAGAATAAGATGGTTTTCTGCAGCAATTGTGGAAAACGTGGACACGTTAGACGAGATTGCTGGGCTAAAGGAGGTGGAGCAGAAGGTCAAGGTCCATCATTTAAACAGGTCAGTACCAAAGACCATAATGAAAATTCTCAAGAGAAGACGTTGACTGAAGCACAAGTCCGTCAGCTCATTGAGGGAATTATGCGTCCGCAATAGGAATTAGCGGCCCCCTGTATTAGTAAGAAAAAAGACAATCGCCTTTTCGTTAATGCATTAATAGGGGGCCACCCATGTGATGTTTTGGTTGACACAGGCGCCTCAATTTCAATAACAGATTTGAACCTACCTACAACAGATGAAACTATGGAAGTTGAAGGTGTTGGAGGTGGTATCACAAAATTTCGCAAAAGTATTCAAGTTCCACTGCAAATACATGAAGATGAAGTCTTATGGACATCTTTTTGGGTGGGACCGAATTCACAAGGAAGCCTAATTGGCATGGACATTCTTCCATTGTTAAACATGATCATATTCACTGACAGTCGTCATATCGCCACAACTGCTGGGATAATACCACATGAAGATCGCACATGTAATCTAAGGTCTGTTGGTACAGCAAAACCAATTATCAGGAACTGGACAAAAGATGGTGTGTGGGGTCTTCTATGCAGTTTGTATCCAGATGTTTGGGCTAAACACAAACTGGATTGTGGTAAAGCCAACATTGACCCCATTGTTATTGAGGGACCGACACATGCCCCTCATAAACAATACCCTATCAGACCTGAAGCAAGACAAGCCGTAGAGGAGATAGTGGCTGACTTGGAGGCTGAAGGTATCATCAGACAAACGTCATCTACCACTAATAGTCCTGTCTGGCCTGTCAAGAAATCAGATAACTCATGGCGATTAACCATTGATTACACAAGACTTAACAGTGTAACACCAAAACCGCATCCTATTGTAGCCAATCCTGCCACTATTCTAAATGATATTCCAGGAAATGCTAAAATTTTTACGGTACTGGATGTACTGTCTGCTTTCTGGTCTATACCTATAGACAGAAGATCTCAAGAGAAATTAGCCTTTACAGTAGGCGCAAAACAATATGTTTGGAACAGACTCCCACAAGGTCTTAATATTTCTCCTGTTGTATTTCATAGAGCTTTGAACCAGTTCTTAACGGAGCAAAAAGCTGAAATTGAGAAATCAGGAAGTGTCTGCCTCCAATATGTTGATGACTTGTTGATTGCAAGCCCAGATGAAAGAAGCCATATATTTGCTCTGAATGTTGTCCTACAAGCCCTTAGGAAAGGGGGATTTAAAGTTAACCCCGACAAAGCACAGCTGGCCAAATCCAAAGTTATCTATTTGGGCCAAGAAATATCTATGGAGGGAAGGAGAATGACAACAGAGCGTGTAGAAGCATTACGACATCTTCCAAAACCTCTAACAGTTACAGGAATGCGAAAGGTGATGGGACTTTTCAACTATTGTCGTCAGTATATACCCGATTTTGCTAGCATCACCAGCCCTCTCATTGACCTGTACAAGGGAGGAAAGCCGGGAGTGGAACAGATTAACTGGACACCAGAAGCTGAGGAAGCGTTTACTTCTATGAAAGAAAAACTGACTTCAGCTCCAGCTTTGGGACTTCCCGATGGACGATTGCCGTTTCATTTGTGGACCAGTGTAGGAGATGAGACGTATTCAGCAGTACTGTGTCAAAAACCAGGTGATCGATACAGACCAGTTGGATACTTTTCCACAAAGATTCCTGTCACTATGATTGGGCAACCACGATGTATACAAGCTCTCGATGGTGCCACATGGGCAGTGGATGCTGTTGAGAATCTGATAGGAGCACAAACTATCATATTGCACACTCCACACAGTATAGTGACACTGCTGAACAACACAAACATCAAAACGATTACTGATGCAAGGAGAGCAAAATGGGAAGCTACTTTGTTGAACAAGGATTTAAGAGTGGAAATCATCAGAGACACGTCTCTTAACCCTGCAACAATGATGCTGGAACCACATGAGGGAATACCACATGAGTGTGTAAAACAAGTAGAAGAAGATAGCCTTGGTCCTGTTAATCCAATCCCTCTTGAAAATCCAGACAAGGAGTTATGGGTCGATGGATCCAGTTACTATGTTAATGGAAAACGACACACTGGATGGGCTGTAGTGCAAGCTGATGGAACTGTTGTGAAGAAAGGAGCTCTTCCTGGCAAGCTTTCAGCACAAGTAGCCGAGCTTATAGCACTTACAGAAGCTCTTGAATTATCTGAAGGAGAACGAGTCAACATCTATACAGATAGTCGATATGCTTTTGGTGTGGTCCATGACTACCTTGCCCTGTGGAAGAGACGTGGACTCATCACCAGCAATGGGAGCGAAATACAACATGCTTCCATAATTCGTCGCTTGATTACAGCATGTCACTTACCTAGAGAAGCAGCCGTGATCAAAGTGAAATCTCATCAATCTGACAAGTCCAAAGAAACTCAAGGAAACACGGCAGCAGATGCAGCAGCTAGAGAAGCAGCTCTACTCCATCCTACTCCTGTTACCCTGGTAAAGGAAAATACCAAGGATAATCCTGAGCTCCATCTTCTGTCATATCAATTGGAGACAGATGAAGAGAAAGAACAATGGATAAAAGCGGGAGCGAAAGAGGATGATCAAGGAATCTGGAGAATTCCAACAGGACAAGTAGTGATGCCTATCGGAACAAGAAGAGAACTAATGCAGCTGTATCATGGAAAAGTGCATGCTGGAGCAAAAGCAATGAAAGCTCAAATCAGTGAAACTTGGTGGTGGCCAAGAATGATGAGAGACATTGATGATTATTGTAGGAGATGTTTGATATGCCTCAAAGCAAATGTGGGAAAATCTGTAAAGGTGCGAATGTCACATGCACCTAGACCAACAGGTCCGTGGACACATCTCCAAATTGATTTCACAGGACCTTTGTCACCTAGTGGAGGGTATCAGTATATACTTGTAATCATGGACAGATTTACAAGGTGGGTGGAAGCATTCCCAACGAAAACTTGCACTGCTGAAGCGGCTGCACGAGTGATGGTTGAAGAAGTTTTTCCTCGCTGGGGTCTTCCATATGAGCTCGATTCTGACAATGGAACTCACTTCACTGGAAAACTGATGAAGGAAGCAATGAAATTGATGGGGATTAAACAGAAGTTTCACATTCCATATAGACCTGAGTCTTCAGGCCTAGTGGAACGGATGAACAGATCGTTGAAAACCGCTCTTACCAAGGCCATTCTGCAAACTGGCCAAGGATGGCATAAGTTGTTACCCGCAATTTTGTGGAATCTGAGAGCAACCCCGAACAGAGTAACGGGACTGACTCCTTTTGAACTGATGACTGGAAGAGCAATGGTTCTGCCTCCTGATGCTCCGCCGCCTGCGGGAACAGGAGGAGACTCTACTTTGTTCCAAGAGAAGTTACGACGTTATCTCACAATGCTGGACAAAGCAATCAAAGACAATAATAAGAAAGTGCGAGAAGCTCAACAGCAATGGGATGAAAAACATACCACTACTGACATTCCACACATTCCCGAGTTAGGCAGTTTTGTTATGGTCAAACGTATTCCCAGGAAAGGTTTAGAACCTAGGTGGGAGGGGCCATATGAGGTACTCTTAACAACAGATACAAGTGTTTGTCTCAAAGGGAAAGGTGTAGGAACAGATAGATGGTATCATTGGTCACAAGTTAAACCATGCTTAGTGAATGAACAAAATGATAATGATGGCTTATGGCCTGAGATTGAGCAATGTTCATCCATTATTTTTAAAGATTGGGAACAAAGAAGTGATGCTAATTATTCCTTTGCTTCCATTTCAGGAATCAATTCCATTGACATTGATTAGAGATGGTTGCAAGTTATTCTCGATACCCAACGATGATGGTATGCTTATTTTTAACTTTACTTGGCATTTGTCAAGAAAGCCACGCTTTATGGACTCCTCGAGTTCAAGAGATCACTCGGAGTGCAACTCTGAAATCTGGTCAACATTTTACCCTACCCTTTATTTCCAGATGGGGATTATGGGATTGGGTGCCACGTAATGACACAGACCTTGCTAAATATCGTAAGGGCATCTATGGAGGATGTAACTTTTACCACCAATGTTACAAAAGCAGAGTAATTTGGCCGGTAAAAGACGGGGGGTATACTGGTAGTGCTCAAAGACGAGAAATTTGTGCAAGAGAACGATGTGAAGTTATAGGGTTAAACCTCATAACATCTACTAATGTGGAAATTAATTTAGTTCTGAATCGTACCCACATGCTTACAATATGGGATTCATTGGCCCAAGGGTGTATTTATCCCATAGGGTTGCCATGCGAAGGGTTTCTGAGGGATCCTTCCTCAAAAACAACAAGATTTAAGGGAAATTATGTACGAGTATGGCATTCAGAAGATGAGAGTGAATATTGTGAGACTGAACTAGAAACTGGCGAAATCGGAAGGTGTTTTTATCTTTCTGCGGAGAAGACAAACAAAGCAAAAACATGCCCAAATACAACCATTGCACCAGCTCATGGTATTTTGTTAGCAAAAGAAACCAAAACCTTGATAAATGAAGCCCATATGGTGCAACAACGAATTAATTATAACTTGAATTCTCTTCTTACCGTTTTTGATCAGTCTTATTGTGGTAATTTTACACAAATAAGAAGTTGGTTGGGAAAAGAAGTTAAATATTACACCTCTAAAAATCCTCTGAGTAGAAAAAATCGTAAAACTCGAAGTATATGGGGAGATATTGCGGGGGTATTTGGTTCTGTCAATTCAATCAGTAATACTGCTCAAATGAATCAGTTAAGTAAATACACTCAGTGGGTGGGAACAATGAGTGGGAAAGGACTCACTGAGGCTCTTCAGGGTTCTCTGCATATTATTGCAGCGGGTCAGCATCTTAATGATGCTGCAAAGGAATTGGCAGATGCATTAATAAAATCGTCTGATTTTGAGACGCATCGTGCGGCGTGTTTATTTTTAGCTCAGAATTTAAAGGATCAAATGGTAGAAGATATTCAAGTTATTCGAATGGGACAAGTTCCTGAGCGAATAGCAGAATCATTGTTAGTGGTTTTCAGGAATCAACTTAATTTGACTTCTGCTAAACATATTCCATTAGTTAAAATCGCTATTAATGAAAATTCATTGTCAGGTTCTGGAATGTTACCTTTGATTATGATATGGCCTCAATATGGGAAGCGTAATATTATGACAGTCAGGAAATTCCAATCAATGGGTGTTAGGCAAGGTAATTCAGTAATTAGATTAGGAAGAAATGGATATTGGGCTGAAGGTGATACACCAATGATTTCTACCACAGACTGTTGTGTCGAGGAACATGAGTGGGTAATTTGCTCATGCTCTACAATGTTTAGTCTATCTCTTAATGGTTCTGCTGTTTGGGATGTAGTTCCTTTGAGTCAGGCCACAGGTGCATGGCAACTTTCAGAAGCACAGTGGTGTATATTACATGATGGAACAAGTGAAAATATGATATACGGGGGAAAGTTGTGTCCAATCCCTCCTGATCCATTTTGTCTTGAAATTCTCTATCCTCTTCATTTGGGTGGAATTCATGTTCCACATGTGCAATTGTTACAGGTAGAACCACAATGGTGGAATAATGACTTAGTAGAAGAACGGAATTATGAACTCTTTGAGATGGTTAAAATAGTTAGAAAGAGTGTAAAAGCAGCTCAAGACGAGGGAATTCAAGCAATGGGTCATGTTATAGTAGCAAATGGAATAGCTAAATTGATGTCTGAAAAGAAACTAACACGAATCCTAGGGAATTTATCGTGGTCAGATTGGATAGTTTTGATCATGGTAGGAGTTCTTGCAGTCATGTTCATGATTCAAATTATGATATGTGTTACTAGAAAAAGAAATACCAAATCTGTCAAACTGATTATTTCTAACCAATTGGATAAAACCAAGGATGGAGTATACAGCGTGAAATAGGGAAATGTATGCATTATTCCTTACAAAGCATTACCTCACAAACAATGAACACCCGCTTACTGATTCTCAACCCCAAGGGATAGGACCCTTTTACATCAACGTTTATTTTAATTTCTTATTTTGGCTCGGAACTGGGGGATTTAATTAGTTAACGAGTTAATTAATTAATGAGTCCAGGCACGAGCAGAAGACTTATTAGTTTTTTCTTTTCTTAGATGATTGGGGTTCATTTTAAATACATACACATAGATATTAAAACACACACAGTATACGGGGACATAACACGGGTTGGGGTTTTTGTTCTTTTGTTCTTCTTGTTCTTTGTTTTGTTTTTCCTTTTCTATTCTTCTGTTCGTTCTGTCTATTTTCTTGGTCTGCTACTTCTTCTCCTCACTATCACTTCTATAGGTTGGCCACCTGGGAATGATGGTGTGGAACTTACGGCCGTAGTTCCAGTGGAGGGAGATGAAGACTAAAATTTCATCTTTTAATATTATTTCATTATTAAATATTATGTATCTGTATTATTATTCTTTATTAGTTTTCATGATCACTGTATTATCCTTTTGGAGTTTCAAAAAGCATGAGTTAAAAGCATGAGGAACATATGTCAGGGGAAAGCTATATATTGCTCAGAGAGGTATGTGTGCCATGTAACATGTTCACTCAGCATAAATGTTTCCACTGATGCAAGTGTACCACAGATGTACACAACAAGGAAAGTAGCGCACGTATGACATTTACGTTCTAAGTTGAGAGGCTCAGAGCAACATGTTTGTTACCTTACAAGGAAGCTGTAAGACTGTGTGATGTATAAAAACTCAATGTCACATTGTACCACCTCAGAGAAACGCATAGACCAGGCATGAACACAACATCTTGAAGTTTCTCTCCTGACATATATATATAATATATAATAAAACTTTCTTGGCAAGATAACTGGTGTCCGGTCCCGTAAATTGAATAATAACGGGGAAACACAAGAGGCTTTAATTCCAAGTCTACAAATATATGATCTGTAAAAAGTGTGTGAGCTTCCTAGTTTGGAATCCGGATGGAATCTTTATTCTTCATGCTGATTCTGAGGAGAATCTGTGGAATTCTATGGAATTCATTTAAATATGGTAAAATGTGAAAGTATCATCAAAAGAATAAAACTGTTTAAAAAAAAATTAAAAAACTGAAATTGTATGATAAAAATAAAACAATAAAATATTTTAGTTACTTGAAATAAATGTTAACTGAAACAAAGTAGAACATAAAAAATATAAAACTAAATAAAAACTATAAATATATATATATAAAAAACAATGACTGATAAAATTACAAAACACAATACAATTAATAAAACTTTTACTAAAATTTAAATAAAAAAGAAAGTGTAAAAAGTAATCCAAAAACATTGACTAAAACTATAATAATTCCTAAAAATAAATCATAAAAAACTAAAAAATAAACCAAAAAAAAAAAAAGCTGAAATATTTGTGTAGCGCACCTGCATGTCATGTGATTGTGTTGTTGAATTATTGAAATATTAACTCAAGTATATTTTAGGTCAAAGGGGTGCGAGTGGCAAAAAGAGTTGGGGAATCCCTGATCTACACTGTTTATTAATCAATAAATGTAAACGCCTTAAACAGTTCTTCAACCAGATAAAAGTCATAACACATTCATCTGATTTCACTTTGCATATAAAGTATTCTGCGTGCCTATTCGATACGCGTACGTCTAAGTTTTGCAGAAATGTAAATGCACCTATAAACAAATTTCTAAAAACGCTGAACTAAAAGTGCTGAATAAAGGGGCGAAATAACGTCATTTACACGACAGCAATGTATTAAAAACGTGTTTTTCTGGTACAGACGTCAACATCGTCAAAACGATCACCGGATCCGTGAAAAAGCGCTGTATTATTCATGCCAGGCCAGTAGATGGCGCTGTTGTAAAGAAACATCACACGCCTAGAATGAACAAGTAATTTGCATACGCATGATGCCACCATTTCATAAATTCACGTTCACGATGACAGTATCGTTTTCCAATACTTGTACTTTTGAAAACCGTTTTCAATAGTTTTCATTTTACAATGAAAACCGCAGTAGATGGCGCTGTTGTAAAGAAACATCACGCGCCTATAGAATGAACACGTAATTTGCATACGCGAGACGCCACCATTTCACAAACTAACGTTTACGATAAGAGTATCATTTTCCAAAACTTTTACTTTTGAAAACCGTTTTCAATAGTTTGCATTTTCAGTCCCTAAAACGCAGTTGTCGTGTAAACGAATGGCCAAAAAAATTCGTAAAAAGTTTTCAGTTTTTAGTTGAAAACGGTGTCGTGTAAACGCCCCTAATTTAAAGGGATAGTTCACTTTGAAATTAATTTTGGACATCCAAGATGTAGGTGTCAATTTTGATATTTTTAGGTCAAACCGTTCTTGTCTGTCATATAATGGAGGTCCATGGTCACCACCTCAAAGAGCAGCACAGAGAAGTCCAAATTAAACATGATTTAATGACTCGTAAATGTAAGTACACATTGATGGCCTAAGACACGAAACGAGCGGTTTGTGTGAGAAAACGAACAGTATTTATAGCGTTTTTACCTCTTGCAAGCGCCGTGGTGGTGACCATAGACCTCCATTATATGACTGACAGACAAGAACGGTTTGACCTAAAAATATCAAAATTGAAACTACTGTGGAAACAAAGACACCTACATCTTGGATGTCCTTGAGGTAAGATAAAACATACCAAACATTAATTTCTAAGTGAACTATCCGTTTAATGCCAGAGAGTTTCTGACTGGCATTTAGAGCTGCAAATATAGTTCAATTTAAAAACAATGCAAGTCATTGTGAATAGATATAAAGCTGAATAAATAAACTAAAGCATAGTTTGATTATGACTGGATTAAAATAACACACACGCACACACACACACCCTGCTCTCAACCCCCGTCACCCCCATAATAAATATGTGATAGTTATGTACAAGTACAGCTACTGTTACACTCTGGACATATAGGAATACATTCTTCAAAACATGTGGAAAGGAAAAATTTGCTTTACAAATTCATTTCCCCAAATAAAACTCTCTGTTGGTTACACCCCTCCCCCAAAACACTTCATACAGCTGACAAAACTTACCAAAGAACAGGTTAACAGTCACTGTTTGTGTAAAACATAATTCAAAGGAAGCATTTAATGAAGGAGTAGATAAACGTGTGGATATATTTGTCATATAGCACTATGATAATTCGATGAATAATACTTTTCTTTTTCTTCTCTCTCTCTTTTTCCTAAGGTAAATACTAGATGCATCCGCGGGTCAGGTTCATTTTGGCTGGAAGTGTGTCGCCTGGTTTAAGAGTAAACATCGTAACCTCACGCTTCAGTCCGGTGAGTTTCAGAGACTGGAAATCGCTGATCAACGGGACGGGACGGGGGCCTCACTTTAAGCTTTTGTGTTCATTGTTTTGCATAAATCGTTGCATAAATATTACAAATGAGTTACATAGAAATCCATTCTGTTCATGTTTCGTAAACGTGGCTCCATCGTGGTAAATACTACTGAGATGCATCCAAATAAATTCTAATAAAAGCCATAAAATAATTGCAAATAAAATAAATAGGCATAAAACAATGTGATTTCAATTACATGATAAAACATTTTCAGGGTAAAATAAGGTACACTCTTAGAAGAAAAGGTTCTATATAGAATCTTAAAAGGTTCTATCAGCGCTACGTATTTGGAACCCCTAAAAAAGGGTTCCTCTGGGTTCTATATAGAACCCTGGGGTTCCGTACTTGGTCAATAGAACCTTTTACCAAAAAAAAAAAATTGTTCTATATAGAACCATTTTGGAGTTCCATATATGAAGCGGGGGATGGAACCATTTCTGGTTCTAAATAGAACCATTTCTTCTAAGAGTGTAGTCTTTAAAATGAAACATGAACGACTGAACGAATATCAATGTGAAACCATTCTTATGTTGCAATCGAATTATGAATCGTAATTTGAGATTTTGCTCCGCCCCTTCATAACCATCATCCCCCCACACCCTCACCTCTCACTCCGACACTGATCAGTAGTTGACATCTTTAGTTTCAGTGCTAACCAGGAACACCACAGGAAGTTGGTCAGCAGCGTGGCCAATCAGGAGAGTTATGACATCAGCCACAGGAAGTGAACGAGACGCTCCACCCAAACTCGGGACCAATCGAATCCTGGCCTGATGAAGTCTCTCCACAGGAAACGGTTGAACGGATGACCAATGAGGACGCAGGAAGTAGTGCCGCCCATGTGACAAGTGTTGCAAAGCGACCAATCACGGAGAGCACGGCGACTCCACCCACAGGAAACACATTTGTCATGCAGCCTTCAGCTTGTTTTGACTCCTCCCCCCATGGCCTCTGATTGGTGGATGATGTAGTGGGCGGGGCCCTGCACAGTCGCATCAGTGTCAGATTACCGTCCGTCTCCGTTCCATCTATGAACGCTAACATATAGAAAAATAAAATGTTTCTGGATGTGTTTTCTTCTTCTTTCTAAACTGTTTTTATATTCTTGTCCTTTACGTTGTCCACCGGCACACGACACACACTTTTCTTCGTTCGTTCCTCTGGTTTTGCTTTTCTCATGATGGTCCTTGCTGTCCTGAAGTGCTCAGTTCAGATCTCTCACTCTTTCACTTTTTTCTTTCACTGTATTTACTGAAAAAGCAGAAGCAGATGAATGAGCATTAATGCAGTGATTCTTGTTGCATAATATCATTTTTTTTACAGCAACGCCAAAAAGTGTTTGCACATGTCCTGATAAGTGAAGCCAAAGCATTTCGATCGCCCCCTGGTGGCTGGACGCAGTATAGGCCATAAACCCCGCCCTCTTCGGGTAACCAAAAACGTAACGAAAAAAATCGAATTACACTAAAAAAAAAAAAAAAAAAATCTGTAAAAAAAAAAAAAAAATCTGTAAAAAAAAAAAATCTAGCATTTCGAGATTAAAGTCGAAATGTTTCGAGATTAAAGTCGAAATGTTTCGAGATTAAAGTCGAAATGTTTCGAGATTAAAGTCGGAATGTTTCGAGATTAAAGTCGAAATGTTTCGAGATTAAAGTCGGAATGTTTCGAGATTAAAGTCGGAATGTTTCGAGATTAAAGTCGGAATGTTTCGAGATTAAAGTCGGAATGTTTCGAGATTAAAGTCGGAATGTTTCGAGATTAAAGTCGAAATGTTTCGAGATTAAAGTCGGAATGTTTCGAGATTAAAGTCGAAATGTTTCGAGATTAAAGTCGGAATGTTTCGAGATTAAAGTCGGAATGTTTCGAGATTAAAGTCGAAATGTTTCGAGATTAAAGTCGAAATGTTTCGAGATTAAAGTCGAAATGTTTCGAGATTAAAGTGGTGCTATTCGAATGTCAATCAAATAGGACCGAATTGTATTATTTCAATGAAATGAATGTAGCTAGTGTGTATTATTAGGGAATTTTATGGTACTAAATTATATTTACGCCCGAATTTATCAGTTTATTCATCGTATTGACAATAGACATGAAAATTAA